TCTATCTGGAAGACAGTGCATCATCACTGAAATTTGGCACACATTCCTGCAGCCTGGACTGTTTAGAAACAGGAGAAGGGAGTGAGGATACCTGGAAGAAATGACACTATTGTTTTTTGGCACGGTTCCAAAATATCATTCCTGGTAGAGACACCGTAATTTAATCACGCTAAAACTTTTCAGATGCTAATTCATCCTTTCGGGAGAGGGAAACAAAGAGACTGGTAATTCCATCACTACAGATGGGGCTTCCAACATGAATTTCGTGATCCAGAAGATATGATATTACTCTTTAAGGTGAACGAGGCTTAGGTGCAGCTCAACACACGCCAACTTCTGCATGTATGTGGAGCCCTGGAACTATCACAGGAACTCCTGTGTGTTCTCCATTTCCATTCCTTTTCAGGAAAGGGAAAAAGAAAAAAAAAAAAAAAAGAATCCAAATATCCTTTTATTTTACCCAGGCCATATCCTGTCACAGCCAGACTGACGGTACCTCCCGCTCACACTCAACTCTCCCTTCGTTTTTTAAGGATACTGTTTCCGAAGCACAAATAAGGGAAAGGAAAAACACGGCCAGCTACCATTTTGTAAACACGCGGAAAATAAACTGCAGAAAGCTCCACTGACGCACCAGGGCCGAGCAGCTGCCGGAGGGGGACAGACCCACCCCGAAAGCACAGCGACCGCGGGGTTTATCCGCCGCTGGGCTACAAAAACAACCGCAGAAGGGATGGCGGAGGCAACCGCGGCCCTCCCAGCCCACAGGGACCGGCGAAGCCCTCCCCGCCCTGCCCTGCCCGTTACCTCGGGCGGCCGATGCGGCGCCCCCCTCCCCGCGAAACCCTCCCCACGCTGCCCTCCCCCGCACCTCTGCCAGGTCCGCCAGCCGGTCCTTCATCCCCGCGGCTCCCGGGGTTCCCGGGGTTCCTGGGGCTCCTGCGGCCGCTCCCGCCGCGCCCGGGGCCGCCCCGTTCCCCCCGCCCGCCCCGCGCCCGCCGCCGGCACCGCCCCCTCAGCGCTGCGCCCGCCCCGCCCCGCCCCGCGCATGCGCCCCGCGCGGGCGGGCGCGGCAACCACGGCCTGAGGGCACCGCCCGGCGCGGGAGGGCGGGGAGAGGAGCGGGCACCGGGAGCGGGCACCGGGCGGGGCGGGGAGAGGAGCGGGCACCGGGCGGGGCGGGGCGGGGAGAGGAGCGGGCACCGGGCGGGGCGAGGGATGCGGCTGAGCCCCGCACCGCGTGTGCAATTCTGGGGCACTCCATTCAGGCAGGGTGCTGAGGGCATGGAGAGTGTCCAGAGAAGGGCGGCGGGGCTGGTGAGGGGATGGAGCGCAGGTCCTGTGAGGGGCGGCTGAGGGGGCTCAACCTGAAGAGAAGGAGGCTCAGGGGAGACCTCGCTCTCTACAACTCCCTGACAGGAGAGGGGAGAGAAGTGGGGGTCGGGCTCTGCTCCCAGGGAATCAGGGACGAGAGGGCACAGTCTGTGCCATGGGAGGTTTAGGTTGGACATCAGGAAGAAGTTCTTCACAGAGTGATCAGACATTGGAATGGACTGCCAGGGAAGCGGAAGTCCACTGGTCTGGAGGTCCTGGGACCAGATCCCTGGGGGTGTTGAAGAGACTGGATGTGGCACTCAGTGCCATAGTCCGGTTGACAAGGTGGTGTTGGGTCAAAGGTTGGACTCGATGACCTTCAGCGCTCTTTTCCAGCCTCGTTGATTCAGTGATTGCCACAGAGGTGTGTGGCAGAGCACTGCAACAGGCTGCCCAGGGAGAGCGAGGAGTTTCCTGCTCTGGTGATGCTCAAAAACCACCTGGACGTCTGCCCAGAAGACCTGTCCAACCCAAACTGTTCCATGATTCTTTGGATGTGTACGAGGAGAGAGGAATCCTCGATGTGGGAGAGCTCAGGGGTCTGAACAGTGCCACAGATGCCTCCCCCCCACCAGAGGAGGCTACAGAGGTGGTGAAGGGACTGGAGCATCTCTCTGACAAGGAAAGGCTGAGGGAGCTGGGGCTGTTCAGCCTCAAGCAGAGACACTGAGAGGGGACCTCATCCATGTCTGCCAGGGTCTGCAGGGAGAGGGCAGAGGGTGGACCAGACTCTGTTCGTGGGTGCCCAGCAATGCGACAAGAGGCAACAGGCACAAACTGATGCACAGGAAGTTCCACCTGAATTTAAGGAAGAACTTGTTTGATGTGCAGTGACCATGCACTGAACAGATGGCCCAGAGAGGCTATGGAGTCTCCCCCACTGAAGATATTCCAGAACTGTCTGGACACAGTCCTGTGCCACGTGCTTTGAGATAACCCTGCTTGAGCAGAGAGTTGACCAGTTGACATACTGTGGTCCCTTTCAACCTGACCCCTTCTGGGATTCTGTGATATATAGACTTTATCTTCTAGACTACATGTTCAACAAATTCTAAAAATGTTACTTTTGGAAACTGAGCACAATCCACGCATAATTTTTCCTCATGTATTTAAGGCATTTCATTCCAGTGCTGGATAAAGAGTTTAAAGACACCGAATTAGCAATGCAAGCTGCTTAAATGACAGTAAATTGCTGAATTTTTGTTTTCTGAAAGAAATCTCCATCTGCCTTTCATCATTGCCCTAGGAAATGCCTTTTTTCCAAGAGTGTAGTTTCTTAACGAAACCCAGAGTCAGCCATATTTTACTTGGTGAAAAAATGGCTAAAGCTTGTCTTTCTAATATATATTTTGATTGAATCTTGCTGCTGGATGACCCATTTTACCTATCCATACTGAAAATGACTCATTTCCTCTCAAGCCTTTTAGAGCAATTTCCTGTGTTGCCTTGAACCCCAAGTGTGTGGGACCTCTGTTCCTGCCGGACCTTGGATTCCAGGGGCGTTTCCGCAATCACGGCTTTAACTGGGAAGAACAATGATGCTCCTTCTCACATGTTGTTTCCTTCGTTTACAGTTCAAAAATCCTTGTCTTTCCTACTAATACAGCAGTTGAACACTTACTTATACATGATGATAAAACAGATGATAAAAACTAGATTCCACTAAGTCATGTATCTTTGTAACAACAAAATAAGTATTTGCCGGGATCTTGAATGCTGTTATAGGGAACTTTTTAATTAATCCTAATTAAGGTAGTTAATTTGGGAAAAAGTAGTTTACTAATAAATTTGTGACAATATTGAGAAAGTCCTAAAGGACAGTGAGTGTTCTATACTCAGATACAGATTGCTTTTTTCCCCACTCTGTGTTTGTATTCTTAAAATCTGCCAAACTCCACTAATGTGGCTCTGTGGGCTCCTATTTATGAACACATGCCTATTTGTCAGGAAGAGAGGTGGAATTCACAAGGGTTTTATAAGGGAAGCATTGTGCTGAGAAAAATTTAAGATGAGTTACACATTCTGAAAAAAAAATAATCCTGACACCTAGAGGCGCTCAGCAAAAATGCAAAAAAACCACACAAGCCCAACTCACCCCAAAAAGGGAAGGCAAATTCAACATGCCGGTGATTTTTCCAAGAAAATCTTATGCAACATTTGGATTGGCGTTGCACTATCAAATAAAGCAAAAATTACAGCACAGTTCAGCCACTCTTGTAAAACTTTGTTTGTATTTTGTGTCTGTGTAGAAAAATAACAAGAAATAAGCTATGTTTGTATATATCAACTGCCATGAGATATTTTCTATGTTAATTCCATTCAGAGATGTGTAAAAAAGAAATATTTATTCTAGATGGGGGGGGAACACCAACAAATGTTATGCAGGCCATATAAAACTAATTTAAGTGCGCTGGACTTAAAAAAGAATCAGAGACCTTAAAAATCAGTGTGAACCTATGAACTTGGTATTTATAGACATATGCAAAACTATGATGTTCCTTGAAAACAAGTTTTCAAAGAACTTAGTTGCACTGAAGTTTGAAGAGAGTTTTGAGAGCTTAGAGAACTATTCTAAATCCAGGGTTTACAAAACAACTTTTGCTTTCATTTCTGCGCTCTCTAGTGAAAGCACATCAGTCTATATGAAGAATGGAAAATAATGGTCATGAGGTGCATTTCAGGAAAACCCGTTTGACCACAGCCCTTTTTACCTGGAAGTGCTTCAGTTAAACTCCCCCACTGTTACAAACCACCTAATTAAACCACACTAGAGGAAGTTCAGTAGTTTTTCTAAGTAACTACATGTAATTTTTTAACTTTGTCTGCAGACAGAGCATCACCAGCTGAGTGCAACACCTCCTGATGTGACTTTGGTGATTAAACAAGGAGGCCTCTGGGTTCCCTGAGCGGCTCAGCCTCAGGGAGGAGCTGCCAAGGAACCGTTCCATGTGTCCCACAGGCTGGATCCCTCTGGAGGATGGGGAGGGACCCCCAGAGATGCACTTCGAGCGCTGTGTCCAGTTTTGGGCCGCTCACCTTGAGAAGGACATTGAGGTGCTGGAGTGTCATTGCTATGCCCTGTGAAACTTGCCATACTTGGTGCCAAGTGCAGCACGTTTGGTTTTACAGAGGAGAACCTCACGGACCCTGCTGGAATATGGGCCATGGGCTGGCTGGATTCTTTAAAATAAAGTTCTGCTCGCTCATCAGTCGGTAGCAGTGGGAAGGTTCAAAGATCAAGCACAGTAAGAGGACAAGAGGAAATGGCCTCAAGCTGAGGCAGGGGAGATTCGGGTTTAATATTAGAAAAAAAAATTCAATTATATATTGGGAAAAAAACCAGAAATTAGTAAAAAAATAGAAAAAAACCCACTGTTTCGGGTAGCCAGACACCGGAAGGGGCTGCCCAGTGAGGGGTCACCCATCCCTGGAGGTGTTCGGGGATGCGGCGCTGGGTGACGCGGTTCAGCGTTCCGGGGGTGCCGCCGGCGGGGGTGGATGTGACTCCTCCGCTCAGTGTCCCTCTCGCTCCCTCCCTCATGACCCCCTTCCCTCCCTCCCTCCCTCATGGCCGCGGCCCTTCCCCTCCCTCCCTCCCGCGCGCCGCGCACCACGTGACGCGCGGCCCCGCCCCCGCCCGCGGCCGCGCGGCGTCGCCGTCCGGGTATTTGAACGGCGCTTCCGCCATTTTCCCTGTGCCGGGCACGGAGCGACGGACGGGGGAGACGCCTCGGCAAGAGGTACCGGCCCCGGCACCGCCGGGCCCCGCTCCCGCGGGCACCGCGGCGAGGGCTGCCTCTCCCAAAAGCGCCGCCGGAGAGGGAGGCGGGGGGGACGGCCGCCGATAGCCCGCGGCGGGGATGGGCCGGGTGGCGGGGAGGCTGCACCTGAGGGGAGCGTTGCGGCGCCCGCGGCGTGCGGCGGCTTCTTCGCCCCTTCGGTGGAAGGGCCGCGGCTCCGTCCCGGAGGAAAGGGCGGGCGGAGTGCGAGGGGAGGCGAGCGGGGGCTCCCGCGGGCCCGAGCGCGGGTGTGTGTGGGGGGGGAGGCGGCGCTGCTCAGTCATGGTGGCTCATGGCGGGGAGCGCGCCCGGGGCGGGCGGGCGGGAGGGAGGGAGGCCCGGCCGGGGCGGACCCCGCGGCGATCGGGCGGTGGATCCCGCTGAGGAACGGCACGCCGGTGCTGGCAGGACTCCCCTCGCGCGGCCGGGTCCGGCCGTGGCCCAGCCGCCCTTTTCGGAGGCCTCTCCTCGCCGGGAGCCGCGGGGCGCCGGGGGCGGGCGGGCGGGCGGCGCGGCCGCCATTGCCGCGCGCGGTCCCGCCGCACGCGGGCGGGGCGGGAGGCGCTTCCCTTCCCTTCCCGCGCGGGCCGGGCCCGGAGCACGCGGGGCGGTTCGGGAGCCGCAAACGGCCCCTGCCGGCCGGGCCCGAGCGGAGCAAAACGCGCTGCCATTTCCCCCGCAGACCCAGCATGGCCGCCCAAGGAGAGCCCCAAGTGCAGTTTAAGGTAAGGGGGTTGGGCGGGTTGGGTTCTTTCTTTCTCCTTCACGAGCAGAGCGGAGCGAGCGAGCGGCTCTTCAGTGCCAACGTGGACGGTAGGTTTGGTTTTGGAGGGCTGGTCGTTGCTGAATGGTGAGTTGTAGCGTTTTGGTGCTGCATTCAACTTCTTTAAAAAGGGTCAGTCGCGCTGTGTCAGTCTGATGGCGTTTGTATTTTAATGTAATAAATGGTAATGGATTTTTGCCTGCACAGTGATTTTTAAATTTCAGAAGCAAGGTCCACTGCAAAAAGTGCTTGGGGTGAATTAGAATAGTCTACTTTCTGTTCTGTACTAATTGTTCAGGGAAGAAAACTTAACGCTCCAGAAGTTCTAAAGAACTGCTTCGTGAAGGTTGTTATGTGTATTTGCTACAATGCTTGGCTGGAATATTCCAGTTGTTAATGGTGCAGATGTTGGTGGGTTGTTGGGGTTTTAAAAATTTATTTATTTTTTTTTTAAATTATAAGGTAGCAGTGAGTTTCTCCAGTAGATGTTTAAATTGTTTCTTCTCTAAACCTGGTCACATTCAAGTTGGAAGCTCCAAATATCATTCAGTCACTTTTAGTAGTTTAGTAGAACCATATTCACAGTGCATTGTGGTTTTCACCTACAGGGACTAAGTAAAACTGAGTTGCAGCATGAAGGGCTTAACAAATTGGTTCCCAGCACAGGGATTTGCTTCATGGGGAATTCAGCCTTTTGTTTTTATGATTGTGTAGTATTAAGGTCTTTGTAGTAATAATTAGCATTTGTGCTAAAATGACTGATAAATGTCTCAAAATTTATTGATCTGACTTCTTTCCTTTATCTACCAACAGCTTGTCCTGGTTGGTGATGGTGGTACTGGTAAAACAACCTTTGTAAAACGTCATTTGACCGGTGAATTTGAAAAGAAGTATGTAGGTATGTCTGAGGAAACATCTGAGATCTGATGTGTCACAAGTGGAAGTGCAGTCCGTGACTTTCTAAATGCGCTGCTTTTTTTTATTTCCATAGCAACGCTGGGTGTTGAAGTCCATCCCCTGGTGTTCCATACTAACAGAGGCCCTATTAAATTTAACGTATGGGACACAGCTGGGCAGGAGAAGTTTGGTGGCCTGCGTGATGGCTATTACATCCAAGGTAAGATGTGTGTTTGGGTGGGAGTATCCTCTCCCTCTCACAGTTCAGTCCTTCATTCTGTTCATGTTGGCCACTCTGGAAGCTGTCAGTGTGGCCTGCAGTGAGGGGCTGGCTTAGGAAGTCGTCACACTCTTGGTGTAACTGGGATAATTTTTTTGAAAAGCAACTGGAGTGTACATGTATTTCAGTGGGCTGTTAAAGGCTTTGTGGCTGCACCTTTAATGACTAGATATTGCTGGTGAAATTTGGTGGTTAAGAGGTGGAAGTGTTGAAGTTGAAACTTCAGTTAGTACAGATTTATATCTGTATTGCTGTACTGTGCTTAAGGAAGAGACTTGGAACACAGAAACTGTAAGACTTTAGGTACAGTGAGGAAGTTAAACACCTTCACGCCAGAATTTACTTGTCTTTCTAAACAAGTATGATAGAATTCCTTACTTCTGCGTGGCAAAGATTTGTTCTGTGTGTACTTCACTCACCTGCATATGTATTTAAAACTTTTGTAAGATACTAGAGTTTGATGTTGCTTTTCCTTTTAAAGTATCAGGATGAAGTCAAGCCACCATGTTCTTTGAGAAACTGCTCTGGACAAGGGCATCCAGACATGTGGACCCCAAGCTCTCAAACTACCTCAAAGCCTCATTAGGTTATTGTAAATTAGCTAAATCGGTGTTGACTAATTTCTGCCAAATGCTTCTGTAAATCCCAGTTCTGTAATCTTACATGTTCTCCTATGTTGTGATACCATGTTCCTCAGAAGTGTGGCTGAGTTGGTAAAACCTGCTGGGGTATGAGGTGACCTGTTCCTGGGCCAAGTTCTGTGGACTTGGGCATTGAACTCGTTAACAGAACTGAAATACTGAGAGGGACAAGATAATGCAGGTGCTTAACCCTAATGTGGGGTCTCTGAGGGTGCCTCTTCTCTGTCCCACTGTGTGAGCAGGTGATTCCTCCCGATGTAACTGGCCTGTTGTTCTCTTGCAGCTCAGTGTGCCATCATAATGTTTGATGTAACATCAAGAGTTACTTACAAGAACGTACCTAATTGGCACAGAGATCTGGTACGAGTATGTGAAAATATCCCTATAGTGTTGTGTGGCAACAAAGTGGATATTAAGGACAGAAAAGTCAAGGCAAAATCCATTGTCTTCCATAGGAAGAAGAATCTCCAGGTAAGTTGGCATGAGCTTGTAGGAACCAGATTGGTGGTTGGGTCTGTTGAGTGCAGTTGGGTTCTAGACAGTAATCGAGTGCTCTGCCTTTGTCACTACAGGCAGCTTCACATCTGTTGGCTGTTTGAACCAAACCTCAGGAAAAGGGGAAATGATGGTGTTAAAGATGATCATCACTGGCCTTGAGCAGGAGCTGTGATGTTCTTAAAGAGCTTGTGTGCAATTGGCTTTCACTGCTCAGAATCTCATCTGATGACAGAAGGGAGACTGAAGTAGATCAAGTCACAGGAAAAAGAGGCACTATTGCCTCCTGAAGGTTCCATCTTTTAAAAGATGCAATGCCTTTTAGTTACCAGTTTCTACCTGAAACTGTTTCTAGACACTTAGATGATACTGTTTATGGAAGTGCAAACAGAAGTCATGCAGTCAAAAAAAGTAAGGTAAAAGTAGAGTTGACTATGTGTGTGTTAATCTTGGTATGCCCTAAATATCGGTCAGAGTGGTTTCTTAATCATGTCTAATGTGTACTTTTTTCCAGTATTATGACATTTCAGCTAAGAGTAACTACAACTTTGAGAAGCCTTTCCTGTGGCTTGCTAGAAAGCTAATTGGAGACCCTAACTTGGAGTTTGTGGCCATGCCTGCGCTTGCACCACCTGAAGTTGTCATGGACCCAGCACTGGCAGCACAGTATGAGCAAGACTTACAGGTCAGTGAGGAAGGGCACAGAGGTGGAACTGTTGCCTGATAACTGGTGATCACATTCACGGGGCAAAGACCTGAAGAGCAGTTCTTAAGTGTAACTTCTCTTTGTTCCAGATTGCTCAGACCACTGCACTGCCAGATGAAGATGATGACCTGTGAGGGATGAAGCTGGAGCCCAGCGTCAGAAGTCTAGTTTTATAGGCAACTGTCCTGTGATGTCAGTGGTGCAGCGTGTTTGCCACTTTATTATCTAGCTGAGCAGAACATGTGCTTAATCTTTGGGATGCTGAAAGAGATGAATGGGCTTCGGAGTGAATGTGGCAGTTTAAAAAAAAACAAAAAACAAAACAAACACAAAAAAAAAAAAAAAAAAAAAAAAAAAAAAAAAAAAAAAAAAAAAAAAAAAAAAAAAAAAAAAAAAAAAAAAAAAAAAAAAAAAAAAAAAAAAAAAAAAGGAAAAAAAACCAAAACAAACTTCATATTTTGGACCTGCATATTTAGCTGTTTTATGGACTGCAATTACTTCCCCTTTTGAGTTTCAAATATAAGACTGCTGCAGTCACATCAGAGTGTTAAGTGGAAAATCTTGTTTCTGTCATTCCCATTCTTTTTTGTTTAGATAATAAAGTTGTATTTCAAGTATCTCTAAGCAAGTGAACTTTCATGCATTGTTAGGAAAACTCTTTCAAAGTGTCTTCTGTTCTTCAGTTGAGGCTAATACTTGGTTGTCTACTGCATTTCTCAGTCTCTGTTTTCCTTCCTGCTGCTCGTATTATGCTCCTCTTGCTAAATCAGAGCTAACAGTTAACCTTTCCTTTATTTCTTGATGCCTATAACTAAAGCATCTGAGGAAAGCTGAACTAACTGCCAGGCAAAACTAGAGCAGTTAGCACTTGTCTGGTGTGACTGGATCAGCATTCCCAGCAAATGGGAATGTTCATGGTCTGCAGGGTGTCCTGAGAGCAAAGTGTGTAGTTCAGCTTGAACGTGCTACAATTAGGTATGGTCTCAACTCTCACTATGTTCTACAATCTACCTTCAGAGCTCTGTATTTTTGGCAGCCAGAAGCAAATGGCATCCAGGTCTGTTAGGTGACTTAAGCTGTGTTTTTGCATGGAACATCATTCAGTAGAGCTATAGCTGGCTAAGCAAACTCTAAGCATCTTAAAATTCACTAACTAGAAAACAACCATGGTTTGAGCTAAAAAAGCTCTTGCCTACAAAAGTATTAACTAAAGCCACGTTGATTTAAATATCTAGACTTTACTGTAACTGCACCAAGTTCTTAATTTGAAACTGGCTTATTACAGCACAAATGGTGGAAAATGTCAACTTTTAACACTACCTTGTAGACATGAATCTTGGTCAATATTAGTACTGCTAGTAAACAAAACTAAGTTACCATTTTTTCAGTAGTGTTTGAGTACATGAAGCCTTGAACTCTTCAGTTTTGTATTTTTGGTTTCTTAATAAAGTGAAGCATTTCATTTATTCCTTTTAACTCGCATGTTTGTATACGTAACTCTTACTTGAATATTTAACTTTCGCAACCTGGTAGCAGAAAGTGTGGACTACAGTTATTACTTGTGCAACGCTGCTGCTAAGGAGTAATTTTTGTGTTAGCTCAAGGTGGAGTTCTGTGGGTTTGGGCTTTTTCTTTGTTATTTTTTTTTTTTCTTTTTTAGCTAGTCAGTCAGAAGCTGAGTCATGTGTGCTTAGGACCTGAAACTCATTGATGAAAATGAGGAATGTTTTACTCGTGGTGTTTGTAAAAGGGACAAAGCTTCATCGTTTATTGAATTGCTGCTTCACCTTGCTTTAACTTCGTGTTGTAGATTCTTGCCTTTAGTGTTACTAATTACCCGTTCATACCTTGGTTAATCTGCTGGCTTGGCTGCTGCTGCTCTACTAGGTGTGGTAGCTTTTTTTTGTCTTCAAGCTGTCTCACTTCTGGAAATGTACTGCTTAAGAACACAAAATAGAAAACTTCAGTAGTGCCTCAGCGTTGAGATTCTTTAAGAATCAAACCCAGCAGCACTGAAGTCATGTTTTTATTGACACATAGTCTGTGTGTGGTGTCATCTTTGCAACTCACCTGGTTAACACAGGGACTGCTCTTAGTTGGAATTCCCATGGAACAGCTGGAAAGGTGAAATAGCTGTTTCAAGTCTAGTACAACTGCTGGGAGCTTTAATCTTCAGGGGTACTCCCAAGTCCAGAAGAATTCAGCTCTGATGAAGGCAGGACTAATCCTGCTGGAAAGGGAGTCTCTTCAACTTGCAACTTGGGAGCGAAGCCCACTTGCAGCATTATCCTTTTTATGTTTAGTCACTGGTAATTGTTGATTATAAATAATGCAGTTGGCCTTAAATGCACATGCGCATTCCTCAGTCGAAGTTCCTTAACTATCCCCCTTCTAAGGAAGTTTTCACCAGTTTAGGCAATTCAAGTTTTACCTATTTAGTCAAGTAATGAGGAAAATAAAACTTGTGTTCTGAGAACGTCACGAAACAGTCACCTGAGCCTGTTGGAGCTCTGCCAGTGCCAGGACTGAATGATGAGTGGAAACCCTTCCTTGGAATACCTGCTGTGTTCCAGTTGCCTGACTGCTGTCTGGTTGGATCAGTTAATTGTAGGAGGTCTTGTACTCCTGCGCTGGGTAAGTTTTTTCACAATAAAATCTCCTGTTTCAGATTGGGTTTAGGGAGCTTGTGAGTACGGACTGTGCTCAGCTGTAGCTCAGGGGTTGGAAGTGGTGCTGGGTCATTCACTCTTCCTGGTTCTGTGATCCTCTCAGGCACAGGGTGTGACTGTTGGGGATGGTGCTGTGCAGGGCTGAGGGTTGGACTCGATGATCCCCGTGGGTCCTTCCCAACTCAGCATATTCTGTGTGATACAAAGCTGGGAGTTCTAAAAGTGTCCAAGCCCAGGAGGTTGTGTCAGAAGAGTAGTCAGGGAATTAAGAAATGTGCAAAGTAGTTAAGGCAAAGGCATCAATTCAGAAACCTGGCAGAGGAAATGTGCTATTTATTGAACCTTGAAATGAAGGAGAGTTAGTCCTCCTTAGGAACACCAGGGATGCCCTTGGATCTCAGGATTCCAACACCCAATCTTTTTTTTTTTAGAAATGCTGAGGGACACTGCAGCACTGGAAATCAGTGTGCCAAGAAGGCTGGAGTAGAGTTAACAGTGCAACAAACTATCTTTTCCCTGTAGAGATTGGTTTGTTGTGTTGCTCACGCAGTCTGAGTGTAAATAAACTTCTGCCCTCACCTTCCTGAAACAGTTTGCAGAGTTTGGTTGCAGCCAGTTCTTTTCCTGCCCTGGACTGCAGGTACTGGTCACTTCCTCAGCTGAGTTTTGGCAAGCTGGTTGGCTCTGAAGCCAGGAGTGATGGCAGTGCCTTACAGGTAACTGAGACACCAAACCTGCACCTTTGATCAGTCTTTTTTTACCTGGCTGCATTAATTTACAGCCTGGCTTTGTATGTAGGTGTTGACTTTTGGGCTGAGCTGAAAAGTTTGCCTTTAAGAAAATTTTTTCTAGCACAAGCTGCTGTATGAGCATCCTGTGGAGGAGCTCTTGGCCGTCTCTGCCAGCGGCCAAGGTTGGAGACACTTTGAGCTGAGAACTCGTGTTGGGAGAACATGAATGACTGTGCTTGTCCTAGCCAGGAGCTTTCTGGGATAACAGACTTGATGGAGCTTACTGATGAGCCCAAACCACAGTGTCCTTAGTTATTCAGTAATCATTGAAATGTTGACACACAAACCATGTTATTTATGCTCTAGCACAGCCTAGACCTTGGATTACAGATTTGAGTGTACAAGGCAAATATTTTTAATGGGGTTGTGTGGGTAATTATCTTCTAGTTCACAGATTGAACGGAATGTTCAGTGAGTAAATGACACTTTGCCCAAATTCCAGTGTTCCACAAGCTGCCCCACTGAAACTGTCCATTGTTCATATTTGGGCACTAGTTCAGTATAGGAAATGGACTGTTGGATTGTTATTTTTCTTTTGAGTAGTAAAATGGCTGATGTCTGTTTTGCTGTGATCCTGGAATTCTGTGAGTAAAAGAATCAGGTTCCCACATGTTCAGACTTCATGAACAAAGACTGAAAAGGGCAACTAAACCAAAAACTAACTGCAAAGTAGATGGTTGTAAACAAGGAGTTCCTAAAGTTGTGGCGATTGAGAACATCTAAGAAAACATTACCCTGTGTCCTTCCTCCTTCCTCGTGTGATTGCTGAAGAGGCAAAGCCAATGATGAGACTCTTCAAGCATCAGGATCTTTCACCATGCAACTATTTAAGTCTTCTGCAGAAAATGTTAAGCCAAAGACATCAAATCAAGTGGTTAATAAATGGTCCTTGCTTGTGTTGAAGTTCTTTTTCAGGTAAGACTTTGCAGGTAAGGGTGCTGCAGTCTGATTTCCCAGCAGTGATTACAATTCCCGCTGCTCCTGCTGTATAAGCTTTTCACTGCAAAAAACCAGTGATGACCTTTTCCCAGATTGGTGGCTCCCAAAAATAGCTCTGGAGGGGGGCAGTGTGTCAAGACTTTTTCAATTGATAACACCATTAAAAAAAAAACAGTTGTGAACATTTCTGGGTCTTGGGGTGGGTTTGCAGGACAAGTATTTAAGGAAAGAGTTCAAGCCAAAGAAGTTTGTCCCATTGGGAAATTAAAAGGTGGGTTGTAACTAGCATGGAATCTGCAATTTTTTCATTGTGTTTTGATTCTGGATATAGGATTTTTACTGGATATAGGATTTTTACTTCTTACTTGTAGCTGGGTGCTTTGCTTTATTTGAAAACCTGTAACTGAGACCTAGTTATAAAACTTACTTCAAACTGTAGCAGATAGAGCAGATAGATCGAGCGGTTACTGTATAATTCTTTTTTTCCTGCTGGCGAATGGATGTATCACCTGGGAACGTGGGGGTGATTCCAGGCTGGAATGGGAATTCCCAGGGGAGCGGAGCCGGGGATGGGTTTTGCAGCACCGGGTTTGGCCACGCGGTGGCACAAACCGCCCGCCCAGCGGATTTTGGTCCCATTTAATAAATAGACTTTTTTTTCCTCTAAGCTAAATCCACTGAGAGTGCGAGATACGCCGAGGCCGTGAATTGCAAGAGGAATTTCCCCCCCCTAATGCTGTTAGCGTTGCAAAGCACAGGCACTGCCATCGTGCTCCTTCTCGTTTTTTTTTTCCCAATCGTCAAATTTAAGCTAAAAGTATTTTAATAATCAGAGCTTACTAGGCAAAGCCTTGATAATTGACACTGGATGAAAGAATCATTTCACCTGGAAAAATAATTCATGCATTAAGTGCTGGTCACCTGATGT